TCTGCACCTCAAATTTACAAAAATCTAAATGTCAACGTTGGTGTAAAACTGAAAACCTATCATTTAATAAATAGAGTACATAAAGAGCAAAAAAATTTAATCATAACATAATATACTCATTTTTTTTAAAATGAAAAAAATATTCATATGCAACTGACCATAAATGGGAAACCACCAATACTTTTATGGTTATACCATTATTACCGTAAAGAAAAAGAAAAAATTTGTGTTCTGGTCACTTGGTCAAGCGGAATTTCAAATAACCAATATTCTTCAGTGAATTATTAACCACCGGAGTGTTAAGGCGCGATACTTTAATTTATTTTTTGCTAACTTGCTTTAAAACCACGATGCACTTATAATTTTTATTAGATCTTATATTTTTATATTGTTTAGCATTATTTTGATATTTTGTAGTTTTGAACTATTTTTTCATTCACTTTTTGATTTTTCATTAATTTTGTTAATAAGATGTCTTAAAATTAAAACTTATAAATAAAAAGAGAATGAATCACGATTAAATGTTAATGAAATACATGTATGTATGTGTATGCAATGTAAAAATGTAAAAAGAAATAATGGAAGAAATCAAAATAAAACCGAAAACTTGAAAATTGAAAGAAAAAGTAAGTGAAATACAACCATAGTAACGAATCAATTGGAAAGTTTTTATTTTTTCTTGAATTTTAAAAAGTTATTAAAAGAAAAATTAAAAAATACATCATCACTTTTGTTTATTTTGCATTGGAAACAATAAAAATATTGAATCTGAAGGAATAATGAATGCTGTAGATTCTTAACTTTTAAATATAAAATTAATTCTGAGAAGAAAAACATAAAAACTGACTAAAATTTTAACTAAACTAAAATATTTTTTTACATTTTTAATTAAAAAATTTTTAAATTATTGAATATTTTTCCGAAATTAAGTAAAAACGAAGATAAATATAAGACCGAACGAACTCTGTGATACCCGACATGTGAAAAATTCTTGCAATTAAATGATGAATTCTATAGGGATTTAGCTATTGAATTTAAATGTCGTAATTTTTGCTTATGGTACATATCGGTATAAGCTGTAGCACTGCAACTTGAGTATTTCCGAAACATGATTTCATTGTTGAACGAACGAAACTATTTGCCTCAAATAATGGTTTTAAATGAAATAATTTTTTTACTACTTAATACTTAGAGTTGTGGAATCATGCTGAACAAACGAAATATCTTCAGCTCTCACGAGACGTGCGCAACGTAAAACAATTTATAACCAACATGGCGGATCGATGATTTTTGATGCTCTTTTTTTGGATGAAATTATATTTTTTGATTTTTGTTTGGTTTTTTTTATTAATCAAATTTCTTCACTAATGTGATAATGAAAAAAATTTCATTGAAATGTTCAAAACAAAACAAAAATTAAAAAATTTAGAAAATAAAAGTTGAAAATTATAACTGGAAGTCGGTGATCATTCATTTAGAATGTCATTAATATTGTTATATGTATTTCAAATAATTCAGTTTTCTGTTGCAAATTAATTTGTGAAAAATATTATTCACGTGTTTTTTGACAACTATTTTATTTATGTTACATTTTGACAACTAGATCTATACAAATATAACCTTGCTTGCCAATTCAAATTGAATTACCAAAAACAGAAGTTTTGAACCTTCTCTTAATTTATTTATTATCGAATTTAAAATTTGGAATTTCGTTCAAATAAATCTGTGCTGGGAAATAGAAAACCATGACCCTTAAAGGAAGAATTTTCAGTAAAAAGTAAAATTTATAAAATTAACAAATGCAACTATAAATGGAAATTATATGAAATTGCTGAGAAATAACAGAAGCAATGAAATCCAAACCATTGGTAAACTGCAAGATTAAAAAAAAAATAAAAAAAGAGCAGCCTTTTTTAACGAAAATTAATAAGAAATAATCTAAAGTTCAGAAACTTATGATTTTTTAAATATTTCAAAAATGGAAGCGACAAAATGTTTATAAGTTTCATACCATAATTTTGTATTTTAAATTTCCGCTTACACTCGCGAAACTTCAATAAAATCCAATGAAATCAATCAATTGCACAGATTTTGCATATGCACAGAATTTCCGAACAAAAGTTTTCAATTAAATAATTTTTTCGTTGTAACAATTTCTTCCTCCTTTCAAAAAAAAAAAAAATTTTTGTATTCAAAGAACCGGTTTGGAATTTTTTTTTGCACATAACAACTACAAACACAATTTCACTTGCATAATAACGTAATCAATTTCATGCTTTTTTTATATTTTGCCGAAATTTTTCCAAGTGCATACTTTAATACTTTGTTTTTCTTTTTAGCACTTTTCCAAAAATTTTTTGAAAAAAAGTGCTTATTAGTTTCACTCTGTCCGTCCGTCTGTCCGTGTGTCTGTTTACAAAACTTCTACACCCTTGAAAGCTGAAATTTTGTATGTACATAGATCTTTACTAGAAACTTATTTCCGCATAGAACAAAATTTTTACCTACCTGCCCCCCTCTAGAAGTTATTTTTTTTTTTTCCTTCTTCACTCCTAGGAGAAGTACAGGGCTAGTGCATGATATCTATTTAAACTCCAGCCTGTAGAAGCTTGAAATTTTAGGGGCTTTTAAACATTAACAAATAGTTCATTTCCTTAGAAGAAAATTTTTTGACTTCTCCATCCCCTCTCAAGTTATCGCCTCTTGAAATTTGTAAAATTTGAATTTTAGACACCTTATATTTCCGAAACCGCAAGCTTTTTCAAATTTCTATAAACACAAAAAGCTAACGGTAAATTCCATGACATTAAAAAATATAACTATTTTTCTTAACTCACACAATATTAACCCTTAAAATCGAGCATTATGTTAACCCCTTTTTATATTAATTTTTGCTTTATTTCAAAGACTGCAAATAAGCGTCATCCTAAATATATACAATCCTAGAAGTAGTTTTGTATATGAATGAAAATAATTTTAATAGTGTAATAGGTATACATAGACTGTATTTAAAAGCAGAATTTTCACTTGTTGAAGGGAAAAGTGCTACAATACAAACCATTGGTTTGACCCAACTTTATTTTGTTCTACTTGTTTCTCATTCCATTTCACTTGATCAAAACCTTGTACTTGTATGATAAACTATTGTTAGTCATATACAAATACCTACTTACTTTATTGTTTTTTTAAGGGAAAATATTTGGATTTTTATACGCAAAATATTTGAACAAAATTAAAGTTGAGGGAAGAAGAAATTGTAAATCTGATGTGATCAGCACATATAGCAAAAGTGTTGGATAATGATAATGACAATATTATTTAAACATATGTGTGTTTCAGATTATGAAAAATTTAGTAACTTATAAGTGAGTTATACATACATAGAAATTTGGTTGTTTATAAATAATCTTTAAATTAAAGGAATTTCCTTGAATTTTCAAGATATTCTTTAGATTTGAAAGTTCTGCTTCCAAGCTCTAATATTGCCGAAAAATTTATTATTTCACTAATTTTACAAAAAGAGCTGAAATATGTATTAAATTTTGAAGAAATCAGTTGATTATTTCTCTATACTACACATGAGTAAATGAAAATGTAGTATTAGCCGTAGTTTGCTATGTCCAGACCGCGAAACCAGACATATCACAAAAGTCAGTCGCACAACATTTTTCAAATTTTTTTCTATCCAATGATTTTTCTACAACCATGAAGGAATGCATGTCAATTGAAAATTCAATATGTGAATTCAATATTTTGTAGCATCACATAACCTAACCGATGAATGCAATCCATTCGGTAATAGTTAATCTATGTTCAGTTCGAAAATTATTGCAGAACTTCATTTTAAAAATATTCAATCCAACTTATACACACACAATTCACATATATGTAGATATTTTTCTTGATTTGAAGAAGACTATAACAAGAACAAAAGCTGTACCTAGAAAATGTAAAGTAATTTCGAATTTCAAACTTGTTAAGCTAATACGAGTAAGACAACATTTTCCCAATTCGTCTATTAATACAACAAATTTTCAAAAAACCTGAGCAATGACATTTAATACCGAGCAATAATAATTATTGTTACTTTGTAGTGCTAATACAAATCAGTTATATTATTTAAAAACCATGCCATATAAAGATTGCAACAAAACAATGCAATATTAATAATTAAAGAGCACAATAGAAATTTATTAAATACGAGTATTAATCACAAAGCAACCACAATCACTAATTACTTTTTTTTCAATTTTTTCATTTCAGAAATACATACCAGATGTCAGTCAAATCAAAAAATAAATTAATTCAAAAAGAGAATTTCACTTAACATTTTGGTTATCATAACAGTAAATAAATACAATATAATTTTTTAATTAAAAATTTTTTAAAAAAAAAGATAAACACAATACAAAATGATTAAATATAAACAATTAAATTCAATTATTAGTTGCCATAATCATTGTAAACATACGAATAATAATAAAATGATTATTAGGCCAATAATTTCAAATAAAAAAATTAAATTTTATAAAAATTCAAGACAATTATTTAATCATCATAATTCAATATGTATAAATAAATTATTAAAAAATCAGCTAGTATTACTTTTCATATCATTAATATATTTTTTAAATATACAATTAATTAATAATGTTGGTGCATATAAATATGAAAATACAACTTCAATTTATACAATAACATCAAATTTAGATAATTATACACAACCAAAAATAACAAAATTAAATATTATAACTAGTCTAAAAGATAGTAAAAATAATAACAATAATAATTATAAAATTTATAATAATAGTACACAAAATTTTTCAAGTCTGACATCAGTGCCAATTTTACATGCAATTGCACCAACAGAAGAATTATTGCAACATTTTCATTATAAATTAAATAATGATAGTACTAATAATAATAATTTACCGTTTAAACCATCAACATATTTTAGTACTATAGAAAACAATCATCACATAAACAACAACAATAAAAATATGAGCACAACAGCAATGAAAATAACAACAGAAAGTGTTAAATCAATACAACCAGAACAAAATTGGCAACAAAATAATAATGAAAAATCAAAATTTAATATACGTACGGGTAATGAACTTTGGGATAGTATAATAACGGAATGTTATACTCATCCGACATTTTCATGTCTACAAAAAAATGTTTTCACTTATTTAGATAAAACTTTAGATATAAGTAATATAAATGTTACAAATCGTTTATTATTTATTAAAAATAATGTTGACTATAAAAAATACACAAAAGAATCAAATGAACAATTTTATATAAAACAAAAACAATATAAACAACAACAACAACAACAACAACAACAACAAATAAAAGACAACAAAAATCATATAGAAAAAAATAACAATAGAGTTGATGTCAACAATAATAATAATAAGAGCAATGACAATAGTAATGACAATAATTATTATGATAGTAACCATCATAATGATGATAATAAATTGAATGAAATTGATAATGAATATGATGATGAATTACAAAATGAAATTCCAGACGAAGGTAGATCAGGTAAATGTACAAAAAAAAAAAATTTTTAAAATCCAAAAAAAAAGCAACAAAATTCCTTCTTTCACCTTTTTGACTTTTCAATCTCTGAAAATTAATTGAAAAAACTGTTATGAAAACGAAATTGAAATAATAATAATTTTCCTACAGAAAAAAAAAGTGTATTACTATGCCATTGTAATCCACGGCATGTCATAAACAAACAATATTGTGAACACAATAAAAAAGGCTTTAAACAAAAACTCTCAAATATTTTGAGAAAAATCTATGTAAAAAGCGAGGGAAAAAATTAAATAAATTGCAATTTCCTATAAAATTAACAAGACTTTAAACAAGTAACAAGGAAATAAAAAAGTGAAAAATATTAAATTAATTTATATAACAATCTTTAATAAGGTACTCGTAGTAAACTCAACAATAATGAAACAAGATGACTACATAAGTGATGCTAATAAATCGCCGCTGACAATTGAAATTCATTAAATATGAATTAAATAAAAGAGTCAGTTTATAAAAGTTGTTTCTTAATTCCTCTTAAACATTAACTCTTCATTAATTTCATTATTAATATGACAAGCCAGCGTAATATTTTTAATAATAAACAGAATACGTGACATTAATATAAATATAAGTAAATAATATAATTATGTATATTTTAAACCAACACAGTTACTTTATTAATAATTTCATTGGAAGAAAAATTGTTTGCTTTTTAATTTCACTTTGAGTTTGAAATTTTAATTTTAACAAAATAAATAAAATATGCAAATTGTTTGCTCATTCATAAATAATTGTCTAGTTTCATTAAAATTTCATTCTTTAAACTCGGTTACGAAGTAAAAACGGAACTTGTTTAAAATCGAATATGTGTCTATATAAAAAGAAATTGAGAAATTAATATTAAAAATAATTTTATAACAAATCATGACTTTTAAATATATACATATATATTGTATGTACACATCTTTGTGCTGCAACACATGTCGACTTTAAATAACTTAAACCATAACAAGTAAAAACGTTTCAGTCGGTATAAACCGATTGAATTATACCCTGCACCTTTCGTTATTGTGCAGCAATAGCTCGAACCTGTGAAATCACTCTATAGAAACTTCACGGATATGTCTGACCTATAATTGGACATCCAACTGCCAAGTCTCATGAATCTGACTTTATTATTTTTTCAAATATTTAAAATAAGCTTTTGGACTTGTATGAACCTGTCAAGCAATTCCACGAAAACTTCAGAAATATATCTGACCTATAACTCGACACACAACTGCCAAGTTTCATGAATCTGACTTTATTTTTCTTTCAAATATTTAAAATTAACTTCTGAAGTTGTATGGCAGGTGCCCAAACCTGTCAGGAAATTCGTCTAAAACTTCAAAAATATATTTGATCTATAATTGGACACATGACTGCCAAGTTTCATGAATCTCCCTTTATTATTTTGGCGAATATAAAAAATTTGCTGTAGGAGTTGTATGGCAACCACCCGAATCGGTGCAGCTATCCCATTATAATTGTAGAGCATATGTAGAATATAATTGGACACATGTATACAAAATTTTATATTTATAGCTTTATTAGTTTTTGAAATATTTAAAATAAACTCTTTGAGTTGTATGGCAGCTACCCGAACCCGTTGTCCGAATTAGTCCAATAACAATAGGGTTCGTCCTTGGTACAAAAGAAAAAACTTGTGAAAGTTTGGTGTCGATTGGATTATTCATTTTTGAGTTATCGTGCGATCGGACGGACGGACGGACGGACATGTCTAAATCGACGCAGAATTTTACGCTGAGCAAGAATATATATATATATGTCCATATCGCAGATGACTCCTTCAAGTAGTTACAAACTCCATACCAAAGTTAATATACCCTTCACGAAGTGCAGGGTATAAAAACGCATGTAATTCTATTACTGTATTGTTATTCGTTTATTTAAATTTCATTTTGACATTAATGTGCGACATTACGTGTGACAGTAATGTGTGACAAATTTTATTTTGACATTACAATTAATAGTCGACTACCCTGTTGCATTTTAAAAATGGAAAACTGGCGCCCGAAAAAGAGTGGATATTATTTTCGTCATGTGAACCAGACAATTCACTTTCATAACATTACGCAATTTGATACTTCTACAAGTTTTTTTCTCATAGAATTAAGCGCTTCGAATATAACGTAAAAATTATATAAAATTTAAGAAGTATACTTCATTATTTGAGAAGTATACGAGTACTTCATTAAAAACTTAATTATTTTACAAAAATATTTAAAAACAGTTTCATAAAGCAATAATTATAAGGTACAAAAGTAATGTTTGGCAGTACCAAATGAAAATAGATAAAAATTAACTATAGAAACATTTCGATAACACAAAAATAATCACTTTTGATAACAGTCGAGAACAGGTTCATCAAGTCAATTGTCTAAAAGTAACAACAAAATATCAAATATTTATTGTGTCGAAACCGGGTTAGGTCAATTTTAAAAGTTCTTTAAAATTAAAACATATTAGACAAGAGCTGATTTTCAATTTCCAAAATTAATTTTTATTTCTAAACATTTATAAGCCCCTGTCAAAACTCACTATCAAAAAATTTACTTATATATAAAATATCTTTGAGATAATATATGAATCAATAGCATTTAGTTTATTTCTTAAATAGCATGACATTATTCCAAGCAAATTAACTCTAATTATTGCGAACATATTTTAGTCCTAAATTCTTTCACTCATTACAAAAGGAGTGTACTTCCTTAAGTATTAAATAATTTACTTCACAAGCGGTATATACAATTGATGTTTCATACGAGCCTGGAAATTGAAAATTATAATTTTTAATATTAAGAAAAATATTTTAATTGTACATTTAATGTTTTTTGTTGGTCGATAATTCCATTTTGATTATGACACTCCTTCTTTCATCGCATCTCTTTTATTTTCAACCTTAATTAGTCAGTAAATGACTTTTTTCTTTCACATACCACTGATATTTTGTAATTATGAACAATTACACATAACTCTTTAAACTGGCATTAGAAGTATTTAAATATATTAAAATATCCAACACATAAGTTTTATGTAAATCATGATTTTTAGTTTAATATCAAAATCACTTTAAGAAACTTTCTATTTAATGAGATCAGAATTGCATTTTCTTTAATACAAATGTCTCATAGAAAATTAACAATAAAATTACAAACCACCATGTCTAATAACAGTTATGAAACAACATCATTTAAAAAAATATGCATAGCTTTATTTAAATTTTAAATTTGTCAAATATTTTTTTCTCCTGAATTTAGCTGAGTCACCAATTGAAGAAGTTACAAACGCTCTCTACGATAAATCAATTAAATTTGCAATGACGCATGATATTGCATTAAAAATGCCTGAAATGATGTTTAATGGGGCAACATTTAAAGTATCACCGAGATCTTTTGAAGGAAATGGTGTAATTGTTAAATTGGAATTAATACCAAAACAAGAAATTGAAATGCGTGAAACTGGCCGTATATTTAAGAAAAAAATTCGTAAGTAATTTCTTTTACAAATTTTCGTAATCCTTTATAATATTTAAAATTTAATTAATATTTTTTTATGTTTTGCATTTTATTTTTAATATAGAAAATTTCTTAAAAAACAAATTGTTGCTGTCGTTTATAGCACTCGTTTTAATTATTAAATTAATTAAAATCAAATTATTCTGGCTCCTACCCATACTTATTGGTGTTGGTGCAGCTAAAAAACTTTTACTTAAAGTTTTATTATTTTTCTTCCCAGCATTAGCTCATATATTCAAATTATGTCATTATTATCATAGTAATTACCATCAAACCAAATATTATCATCATCATCATTTAATTAATCATCATCATACGGTAAGTTAAAATCGATTAGTTTTAAAATTAAATTAATTTTTAAATATAAAAGTAAAAGGAAAGGTATTTAACAACTCTGTAAAGAGATTGCAATCATCACCATTATTTTATACACACATAAACTACATATTCAACTCAAATATGATATTGAAAAAAAAGTTGAATGAAATCTGTTGCTTCTATTTAAAAGCAGTAATCACCTTGAAATCACCTTTCATAATTTATATTCTTTAATAAAATTAATTTCAAAATAATAGATTCATTTACTTCATTTACATCTTCTTAAATGTATTTTGAGATATTTGATCTCATTGAACTGTCATGTCTGGGAATTACCAGACTGGAGAGCTCCAAAATTATTTTTCATAAGCTATTGAAAACTTTTTAAATTGTGTTTAATTTGGATATTTTAGCGTTTACCTAGGTATTGTCTTATTTGAAGAAAGAAATTTTTTGATATTATAGGTACAACAGCTGATAAAACGATTTCGGTTTGAATTAAAAAATAATAAAAATTTTCTTTCAAAAAAATAAAAAAAAATTATTCACAAATAACCATTAATGTTAAATGGAAGAATTTATTCTCTTAATTTGCAATTCAGACAACCAATAAGCTCCGAAGAAATATTTTAATATACGCATTTAAATTCGCCATAGACGTTGCGTATTACCGTTATAAATCAATATGCTTATATCAAACAGAGTATACCCACAGTAATATAGATTTAAAATTCTAATATTATCAAACACAAAATATCAAAATACGAATTGAAATTAAAACTAATCAAAAATATATTTTATATGATTGATCGTTTAATTCCCATACGCTTGCCAAGTTCTAGGCATTGAAATTTGATATGATGTAAGCTTTTTATTTCCTTTCTTTTCACGCTTATTATTAGGTCTGTTCAAATTTATAAAGTTATAGCTAATACATGCGCTTGATAAAGGAAGACGAAATTATTCGCTACAGTAAATATTTTTTTATGGTTATTTTTTTATTTGTTAAATTTAAATTAAAAAAGCTTCGTTTAAGTATACTTTTCCCACACTCTAGTAGTGCAATATAAACGAAACCAATTATTTGCCTCCAAACAAAATTATTTGACCTAAGGTAAATTTACTATATCAGTATCTTGTAGAATAAGTTTTGTCAAATCTATAGAAGAATCTTACATTTCTATAAGCCTATTGTATAAATTTTTTCCGATATTTTAAATGTCCTTGTTTATATTACCTTTGCAACGGAATTCCTGTAGTAAAAATTATTTAATTTTTTGACTAAATTCCAAAAACAATGCGATTCCAAAATTTTCATATCTATGATTCCGTAAACTTGGCACAAATTTCCTCTCTACGTGACTGTAAAATGCTGCCATCCTTAATGAAATCGAACTCAAATAATATAATATTAATTTGCAGTCAATAACAGCATACTCGGTAATAATATTATAAAACTCATAGGTATTCAAACTTGCAGATCATCGTATAACATATGTGTTAAAACTAAAATTCAATTTTTTTTTATCAAAATCTTAAAAATTAAACAAAAAAAAAATTGCTTTAGACAATCAATTTTGGCAGTCAAAAACAAAAAAAAAAACCTACAGAAAAATTTTAATATTTTTACAAACACAATAAATCAGGTCATTGGCTCTTTCTTTCACATTTTCTTCATAGTCTCTTTCGTTTCTCACTTTTAGCTTATTGAACTTCACCATTAGTATTATTTTACCCCACCTAATATTTGGCAAAGCGTAAAATAATCATATAATATTAAAAAAGTTATTACAAAAAACCATTATAAAATAACCTCCATTACTTCTTCCCCTCCTTTTCTGAAAAAAATCAAATTTATAATGACAAATTGTAAGAAACAATAAGAGTATTACACCTACAAAACACAATGATATTTAGCCGTCTAAACACAAATATTTACGTGTGAGTATTAAATTTCATCGGTCAACTTAAATATGTATCTACCATATTCATATAGCTACATATGCCCAAAACAGAAGTATATACATATATCAATCAGTGTTAAAATTATTATTTTAAACATATTGAAATTTCTTCTGTACGCATATCTTTATACAGGTGAGAGACGTACTTTTATACATGGTATAAGATAATTTTGTTATTTTTATTATTAATGTACGCAAACACGCCTTGTTGTTTGTTATTTTGAGTGAAAGTTTTATTACAAATTTTTGTATATCACATCACAATATTTCTTTTTGAAAAGAAATCACTAAAATGTTTTTATTCTTTAAAAACAAATAAAAATGTTTACGTTCCATAAAAATGTAATTTAGACTTCTCCCTTCTTGTGTGTTCGCACAAAAAAATTAAAATAATAAAGAATTTTCATAAAAAATTCGAATGAAACAAAAACAAAATTTGTCACATTTAAATGTCAACAACAATTTAAAGAGTTAAAAAATTCAAAGGAAAGCGAAATTCAATGAGATCATTTAAAAATTTCAATGCCAATGTCCAAATCGTAAAATAAAATTTTCTTGTACATTTCTCACTCTGTTAATTCTCTTACCTATTCCATTTGTACTTTTATTTACTGTAGTACCTTCGACTAATTACTAATTTTTTTCTTTTTCTTCTACTCAAAGTTTAATACAGATTTGGACAATATTTTGTTATTTGGACCATGAATAGTAATTGTCAAAAATAATCGCATTTATAATTGAATTTTCCCATTTTTCCTCCTTATCTTTCGCTCTTTCTTACATATTTCAATAATAAATGAAAGTAAAAATATTTTGTCAAATTTTCACTTTTATTTTTCTTTTTTGAAGTTTCCTATTATTTGCAATTTCCAATTTAAGCTAAGCGTCATTTATTATACTTTTTTTTTTGTTGATCTTTTGGTTTCTTTTCCTTTCTTTATTATTACGCATTTAAAAATTAATTTTCTATAATTATATAGGCGCCGCCAGTTTGGGCTAATGAATTATCAGTAACATTACCAAATGGACCGGAACTAATCTTTACACATCCACCAAAAGGTATACCACATCAAGAATATGGTGCACCATCAACTGTTAATGAACATTATGATAATTGGGAATCATCTGGGCCAGGTTTAGGATCTGAGTAAGTATATATGTACATATTTGCTTTAATATATAAGAAATAATTTTACTACTCTTGATCATATACTCGATTCTATTCGAAAAATTGTTATCTCTTTAACAATTTCTTAATTTTAACAACTTCTTATTTCTGAAGAGTAATTTAAGTAAAATTCTATTCAAAATTCTCTTTAACGTTTTCTCTGATATAGTCAGGTTGAGACACAATATTAAATTAATAAAAAGTCTGTAATAAATTTTTTTAAAAATTAATTTTCAAAACAACAAAAAAAAAAACATTTTTTTTATGATTTTTTTTTCCTTTTAGGTATTTGGCTGATAATATTCATAGGAATGGTCAAATAGACAGCTATTTTAAACCAAAACCGGAAGATGAAGATGATATTAAATCATGGGGTCTATTCAATAGCCTTCCAGGGACAACAATATCACCACCAACTAGTCACAGTTATAAAATTAATCCATTCATACCAAAACATCAAAGGTTCGTACTTAGAAAACTCATTTGAATATTTTTGTGTTCTACTAAATTATTTTTAAATTTATCATAAAAATCATATACACATGTGTGTATGTAGTTGTGAAAAAAGAAAACCAAAAAAAAATTAAATTTTCCTACAATCTTTTTAAATTTTTCAACAGTATTATTGCAAATAAAATTCGTGGTGTCGGACATAATCCATTATATGTTACACCATTAAAAAGGCTTATATCAACACATAAAACAGCGGCACCCCCACCACCGCCACCGCCTATTAATTTAGTAACTGCTTTACCAAATGCAGCACAAATTGCAGCACAATATGATCCAGCAATTCATCAACAAGCGGTAAGTTATGAAAAAAAAAATTTCTAATTTTTTCATCCATTTTTATGTCATAATGGAAAGTTCTAAAATTCTTTTTCAACGGATTAAATTAAAAAAGTGTGATTATTTAGGTTTATTTTTTCTTAAATTTAATTATAAAAGGTGATCAATGTGAAGCAACATAGGAAATACTTCAACTTGTAGTTATAAAATAAATTTTATGCAAGATTTTATATTACAGGTGGTCTTTTTATGGTGTAAAATAAATTTTTCTGGTTCTTTTTTCTTTCAGCGTTTTTATTAAATTTTCATTTAAAATTAAAAAGTATTTTAAAACTAAAGATAAATTCCTGAAAATGTGTTGGTGTCAAATAAATTCAACTACAATTATTTTTTAAGTTCTAAGAATTTGAAAAATAATTTTTAAAAGAATGAAGCGCTCATCTTGTGAAATGAAATGTTTTTTTTCTCTATATTAGATCAAAACGAGGTACACGGAATATCGCCTGACAACTGACATAATAAATTTTATGATATGGTCAATTTACATTTAATTAGTAATTTATTAATTATGAGGTTAACCTAAAACATTTGGAGAAATAATTTGAAAATCTTTTTGTTTCAATAAAATTAAATTCTCTTACTTTAAAAATATAAATAATACGTGCTTATATGCGACTTAATTCTTTCAATATTGCAATGGCAGAAAGTGTATCCTTTGTATAGTAAGGCTCAAATAACAAATCACATTTCAAATATTCATGAATATTCTTCATTACGATAAAAAGAAGCCTTCCAAGCAGTAGAAACATTACTAGTTAGGGGGGGAGGGAAGTCAACTCCAGATCCAATCACTGCAACCATTATAGTATAAAAACTTTAATATGGAATTTTTAATTACCTTATCTTAGAAAAATACTGCACTAGCAAATGAAAATTTTTAATTATGTGAAATCCAAGCTGGTTACAGAGAGAGGGAGGGAAATAATAAAAAAACATTTTTCCAAAAGGATTATTATTTTAACATTGAATTTATTCCAAGAATTTTATTTATTTAAAAAAAGAAAAACAAATAATAACGGCATCTTGATTCTATTTAAATGTTTACCTACTCCCAATATAAAAATTTTTTTTTTTTAATTATTTACTCATATATTTTTATACTTTTTTACCGACCGTATTGTGTAAACAATAGGTAGGTTATGTGAAGGCAACAAATTTTGCATATCGAGTTTTCGGTGGGAACGTTCTTCTCCATAGTAGGGAAGTGTAAATAAACTATTTTTAGCAACCTGTCGGTCTGTCGGTCTGTCGGTCTGTCCGTCTGTCGGTCTGTGTGTGCACGCGTGTATCTCAAGTTCGGCTGAACCGATTTTGATGAAATTTTATATGTAAGTTTGTTTCCACCATGGCACGGATCGATCAACTTTTTGTATATACCAGGCCTCGGGAACTGCACTTTTTAGCGGGCCTGTTTTACATTTTTGAACATTTTGAAGAAAATATTCAACCGATTTACATGAAATTTTATATATAAGCTCAGCTCGACCGTCCGCAAAAATTCGTATGTTTTGGAAGAAATCAGGCATCGGCAACTAGACGTTTACTACGGGCCAAATATACATTTTTGTGTATATAAAGAGAAATAATCAACCGATTTCATTGAAATTAAATATATGAACTCCTCGTATTAAAACAATGAACATATAAATTTTTTGGAAAGATCAGGGCTCGAGAACTGATTTGCGGGCCGATTTTACATTTTTCACCATATCCACAGAACAAATTGATGGAATTTCTTGAAATTTGATATTTGAGTTCTGGTTGTTACCGAAACTAACTGGCGAGCATTTCAGGGAATTCGGGTAGCACAAAGCGAAACTCTACTAAGAGCCAAATTTACATTTTTCTAAGTATTTTAACTATAAGCTTACTAATGTCCTAAAAATTGGAAAGAAGTATTTAACAGACATTTTTATAATATTCTGTAACACTTTCATTTAACTAGACAATACACAATGCGGTCGGTTATGTGCTGACCACATCACATTTTTTTTTTACTCTCGTCTTCCTCATTTTCTTTTTTTTTGTTTAATTTTGAACTTTTTTCTAATCGTGTCTCTCTCTCTTTCTCTTAAATGTGTAACTATTTATTTAAAATTTTCACCTTTAAATGCAAGATACGCGGTGCAATTATTTCATGACTCAAATGATACACTTAAAGCATACTAATAAGAGAAGTAAGAATTTTTTTTTCATTTTATTAAAAATGAAAATGTTTTATGGGTTGTTCAAATAAATAAACTGAAATTCAAGTCTTCTTCTCTCTGCAGGTGAACCTGTTAATGAAAAAGAAAACAAAATACAAATTACAAGCAAATATGAAAACCAAAAATAAATAGTGAAAATATTCAATATTAAAAAAATTGTTTAGTTCAAACTTGAATCTAAATTAAAAAGTAAAATCGAATAATATGGTGCAAGCAAACCATAGAAAGCACACTATTTAATTTGTACTTAAAGTTAAAAATTAAAAAAAAAAAACCAAGCAAATTAAATAAAAAATTTAACACTTTCATTGTCGATTTGACACTATTATAAAGGAATGTAAATTACTATATTGGTACACACACACACACAAATACAAATTTAGTGTAGTTTATTTGCATATTATGCTATTTAGATTAAATGTTATTTTTTATTCATTTAGCGCTGATCTAGTGATGTTAGTGATGCTAATGATTTAAGTTCCATTAAAATCATCAAAACAACAATCAATTCCATTGAATTTTCTATTATAAATTACTGTCTGTTTACACGAGTAAATGCGAGCATATACACTGTTTGCGAACATGTATAGAGAAATTTTAATATTGAACTTTTTTTTGCTTTCAATTACAAATGAGAGAACATTTTTATTTTGAGAAAATGCCCTCATATGTACATACATATGTTGTGTTATATATGCATACATGCTGGCTTAAAACGCAGTTTTATAGTTCCAAACTTGCACAATTTTTAAAATTTTTAATGAGTAAATACTTTATACGAATAAATACGGTTCTTAAAATATTTAACTATATACATAATATACCGTTGCAACTAAACTCTCGCTTATCATTTCTAATAAACCCCGTAAATGTGTAAATTTACAACTGTATAATATTGATCTTAACTTTAGCCTAATTGAATTTAAGGAGACCAATCCTTGTCAATAAAATTCAATAAAAATTATAATAAGAAATTATAACAAATAAGAGAATATTATTGAAATATCAAGGAAAAGCGTAATATTGCACAAACCCAAATCAGTATTGGAGTTGTCGTATTTGCATATGCCCAACGACTACCATGCAGATTTGCTTTCATACACCTTGACTTATTGTTTCTACGTTATTATTCGTCTGGGGTGTCCTAAACTTTGTGCTTAGTGTTACACTATTAATATAGAACAATAATACTGATTAAAACCACATTCAATCAGAGGAGTTGATAAATTTTTGTTTTCAAATAAAAGCGCTCATAAAATTTTTTTACCCAAAAAATATGCGTTGAATCAAAAAAAAACTTGGAAACCTCTGGTTTATATAGGTCTGGTGTATATAAATCCATAAAAGAGCAATACATTTCAACTTTAAAATTGGTAAAAATAATATCGTTTTAAACATATTTTTCGAACAAATCTTGCAAGTCAATCTTAACATCCATTAGATTTTAAGAGGAATGAAAAACAACTGACAAAAACTGATAAATAATTTTTGATTAATGAATAATTTTCTAAATATAATCGAGGAATTGAAGAAAAATATTTTCCATCCCAACACCTTTTTATTCGGATTGCTATTTTTACCGCCCAAAACATGTTTGCAAAAAAAACCCAAATAAAAAAAAAATTTTAAGCAATTTTGGAGAATGTCTTGAATTTTGTTTTTTTTTTATAAATTGAAAAATGATGGAAAAAGAAATTTAATATTCTTTTTTAAGTAAACAACAAAAACAAGATTTCTAATTTTTAAATTTCTTAAATTTTTGAGGAAGTTCTACCAGATGAAAAAATTCTAGTAAAAAGTTAAAAAACCATTCAACAACATATTTTTTTTTATTGAAGACTAAGAACAAGAAAAAAAACTCGTTAATCCTTTTTATAGCCCAAACATAAAAAAACAAAATAAATAATTATCTTGTTTCACTATATTAAGAGTAATAAAATTCTCGAACTGCCTTTAAATCTGTATACGTATACCCTTAGTAAATCAGGATTTCTTATAAATGATGAGATCTGTTTAAAATTTAATATTCTGATAGGCTACATGGTATGTAATAAAAGAGGTATCATAATAGCATCAAATATCACAAATCGAATTTCGAACAGAAATGAATTTTTATGTGTAAAAGAACCAAAAATATTCTGCTGTAGCTCAGTGAGGTATTATTCAGGAAGTTTGTTCGTAAATTTCTGTATCTCACTTTTCATTGAAGCGCTTCTAATCAAAATTTGATTTTTAGTTTATAGGACCTTGAAATTTGGTATTCCGAGTTTAGTTTTTAGCACTTTTCCAAAAAATTTTTGAAAAAAAGTGCTTCTTAGCACTTTTCCAAAAAAAGTGCTTATTAGTTTCACTCTGTCCTCGAAATCGAGCATGACATAATAACCCCCTCTTTAAATTAATTTTTGCTTTATTTCAAAGACCCCATAAATCGTTCAGCCCAAATATATGCAATCCTAGAAATAGTTTCGTTTATGAATGAAAATAATTTTAATAGTATGATAGATATACATAGACTGTATTTAAAAGCAGTATTTTTTGACTTGTTTAAGGGAAAATTGCTACAATACAAACCATTCGTTTGACCCAACTTTATTAAAAACACAATTACAAACAAACTTTTTGCAAATTACACAACTTTGAAACTGATTAAGCGTTAACTGGAAATTATACATTTTTTATCTAATTTTAGATATCTCAAAGCCATTAAGAGAGTTTCTTCAAACACAAATATTAAATTGTGCTTGCCAATAA